CGATCAGAATGTTAGTCTGTGAAAATAGAGTGCATCTTTAATACAATACAGTAGGACAAAATAAATAACATTTCAGGCTTTTACCGAGACAATTAAACTGCTACATAATCAGTAAATACATAAGTCTCCTCATATAGACCTGAAAGTTAACCGAGAACAAATAAGGATACAAGTTATCAAAAGCAGGGGCAGGGGTCTTTAGCCCCATTTCTAACAATTCCTTGTCCTGCATATTTTTGTTTTTTTTTCCTGCCTCTAGACACCTGACTTAACAAATAGGTGATTATCAGGCTTCTGCAGCCGTTTAGCAGCTGCTAAAGGGGGTGATGCAGTTATTTGATTAAGGCGTGCTGGAGCAGAGACAGGTAAATCATTTAGGATAGTAGATCCTGAGGACCGGGCTTGAAGAGCCAGGTCAAAAAGATTCACTGAAATGGATACCCTTGATAAATGTTCTTAAATAAAGTGTGTAAATACATTAAGATTGATTTATGACAATATATACTGTATTTACTCTTATTAGAGGGAGAGGGTTGGATTTTTATGCAATAGTCTGTAACTGGTCCCATTTCTTCGTTTTATGTTTTGTTTTTTCTGTCAGTATGTTTAATTAATTTAAACATCACTAATTTGTATGTCACATTTAAAGTCACAAAGTCATCACATTAGTAGATGTGATCAATGTTGCACTAAGCAGGTGTGAAGCAGAAAATTTAGAGCATATTATTGATGTTAAAAAAAATCTAGATAACAGATCTCCAACCAGTTAGATAATTTATGTAGCGAGAGAGTTGTTTGGTTACTAAATTTAATTGGAAAGTTAGTTGAAAGTTGCCAAAAATAATAAATAATACTTACCGGTATGCTAAGAAGCTGATCAGTTTGAAAAGTGTTGTGTCCTTTATCTTTTAGATCTAAGTAGATGACATCAACAGCTTATAGAGTGGTACTGATAAAAACACTTCAACATGTTTCTACCTTGTTCTACAACCTTTTTTTGCATGTGCCAGAATTCAAGAATACCAGAACCTAATAGCAGCAGCTGGTACCTATAGATGGAGTCACATTTATAGCATTCTGGGACAAAACATAGAGTAGCATGTTGCCAATGGTACAGTAATGCATGACGCGTCAGTCAGAAAACAGTGCCATTCAGTTTGAAGGTTGGTTCTTCTTCTACATCTAAGCAGAAGGTTGTGAAAGCAGCATGACGATAAAACATGTGTGAAATGTTTAGTTTAAGCCTCCACAGTGGGTTACAGTGAAATAAGATCAAATATTTATTGTATATACTGTCCCAGTCGAGCTCACACCCGCCGTATGTGACTGTGTGCCCTGGCTTGATAGTCTAGTTTCATCCCTTTAATAAAATGTCGTGTTGACTTGTGTCATCGGTTTAGGTCGCAGACAATGAGCACATATTGATACCTGATCCTGTTTCCCCTCTGTGCCTTCCCTAGCTTGTAAAGATGCATTATATTTAGAATTTATTTGTCTGTTATTCAAGTTTTGCATTATTAGGTTCTATTTTTCTTCTTTCAAAAAAGTTCACATTAATTTACTCTTTTTATTTGCACAATGAGTGCTTCTCTTATCACTTCTTCCGATAAATGTGAATCTTTTTTTTAAACATTTTAAAGCTTTTATTTCCTATCAACTATTAACCTGTAGATTTTGAGGAAAAAAAACTGGATTTACCCTCAGATGTCTGCTTGCATTACCTTTACCTCCCTGTGCCTACCACTGAATGAATAATATCAGCCAGTACCAGTCAGTAATCATGGCATTTTTAAGGAGGAGTAAAAAGGTATAAGAGGTTATTTTTTTCCTGTGTAAATGTCTGTATCAACCTGTGTGCCTCATCAAAATGATCCACTCTCTCTCAACAAGTAAAGTCAATCCATCACTTATTAGTTTCTGTCTCGTTTTTCCACATCATGAGAACAACTGATTTCCCTTGTGCAACTTACTCTGCTTATTGGTGTCAATAATCATCCCTCTTCTTTCTGTTTTTATACCCATTTTCCATCATTTCGGTGGTGATTTTAACATTATAAAACCTATTTAGGGGATTTTAAATGATCAGAAATCATTTAATATATTTAGTGATAATTATACATGATTTTAAAGAGGGTTTTCTTATTTTTTGTAACCCTTTTCGCTGAGTGTTTCATACTGTTTTTCTGCTGTCCTCTAAGGGCTGCACTTCACAGAATCGGTGATGAACAAGAATGCCTTATATCTGAACCCAAACTGCAACGTTTCACCCATTTCTCCTCTGTTCTTTTTTATCACTCCATCCCTGTCTTTGTAAATAAATAATTTACAGCAGGTAAAGACTGTAGAAGAATGAACATATTGTATTTTGCAAATGGTGTATGTTTTTCTGTTTGCCTGACCTTTAAAAATGAGTCTGAGCTACTTAACCTTGTAACCAATTGTGTCATTTGTACCTAATGTATGATAATGCAAATAAACAAAAAGGCAAAATGAGGTCCATACTTATGCTCCGGCTGTGTTTTTCTTTTCTTTTTTTTTTTTGTATAAACAACAAAAAAGTTCATACCTGTGAAATGAAGTTCAAAAACATCCATGGTTCTCGGCAATTAAAAAAAAATAAGAATCTTAAGGGAAAAGGGCATTGTGTATACCTTTCTTTTATTTCATCTATAAATCTAAATCTTTGCATATTGTTTTTTAATGAAATTCCTCTTTTCTGTACAGTCCAGTCTCGGGATTTCTCAAAGGTTCCCTCTTGGATTATGGTGTCGACTGCAAGGGCATCATAACACAACATGCCAACTTTATTTGTATAAAGTAATTAAAAACAGCTAAAGCTTAAACAAAGGGCTGAACATAGCTGTAACACTATAGACAGCACCTTCTGTAACTTCTATGCCAATATGTGACGAGTGAATTTCTCCGCTGTGAGATCAATAAAGCTCATCTTATCTAATCTCTAATCTAACACAAGTCAACCAAGATTATAAAGGCATGCCAACTATTAGAATGTATAATAAAACCAGTTAAAACAAACAAGGCCAAATTAAATCCCGCTAGTGTTAAAAACTAGTGTTGCACTAATACTGATACCAGTATCAGGCGAGGCCCCGATCCAGCACTAAAATGGTGGCATCGGTATCGGCGAGTACCGACAAATAGTGCACCGATACCATTTTGAGAGCCAAAAGTTTATTCAACTATTGTCACCCAGTCCAGGTAGGCTATAAAAAGTTCTACTGGATTCACCTTGTATTAGTCTTTTTCCTGCTTCACAAAGGTAGGCAGCAGCTTAACAAAACCATGATGGCAATTATTTTACATCCAAGTAGTATGCAGTTCTTCATATATACACACAAACATCAATTTCAAACAGATGGTATCGGTGTCAGTCAATACTGCACAGCCAGGTATCAGGTTAAAAAACAAATAATAAAAATGAGTTTTAAGCCCAATTTTAAAGAAGGCAGCGATAGTGTAATTCTAATGCAGAGAAGGTAATTCCACAAATGAGGAGCAACAACAGAAAAGCCACAAAAAAAGCATCCTCCCTGACCTTGCTCCCTGCAGGAGCTACTGTTCAGCTGACCTGAGGGGCTGTTATACCTTGGACTAAACATTGCATTGTTGTTCTGGGATTTCTCTCAGGGCTGCTTATTATTTAACTCTATTCTTTAAGCCAACCCTTGCCACCTAGTCACTCACTGCTGCAAAAAGAGACGGAGGAATAGTGCTTGCCACGTTCATATTTCAATATGAAGATGGTGTTTTCGAAGTAGCTTTAGAGGCTGGAAAACCTTATCATACATGTTAAAAAGTTTTACCCCAAAGTCTTCCTTTTTATCTGAGTTGAGTTATCAGGATTAGTTGTGAGAAAGTATTTTATTAGAACATCAAAAATATTCTGAGGATTTCTTTCCATCAATTTCTCAGAGTCAGAACTCAGGGTCTTACTAATGCCTCTATTGATCACTGAAACCTCTTCACTAATTTGTTCTAACCTTGATGTCTGCTCCATTTTGGATACTCCTTTATCTTGTTAATGGAAAAATAGCTTTGGAGCCTACATGTAAAGACTCGGCTACTTCACTAATATCTTTTCAGATGAGGCCAGATAATTATATCTCGATAATGGTTAGTATTAGATTGAATGCTAATAAAAAGATGTATAATGTTGTGACACAAATATATATATATATATTTTTATGTTTATATAAATGGGCTGCATGGTAGCGCAGTATGTATCATTGTTGCCTTAGAGACAAAGGGCTCCAGGTTCAATTACCGGCAGGGTATCTTTCTGGGTACTCTGGCTTCTTCCCATACTCCAAAAAAAATCACTTTAACTGTAAATGAATTGGCTTCTCTAAATTGTATTTTGGTGTGAGCATGTGTGTGTGTGTGTTTGTGTTTGTGCATGGTTGTATGTCTTTGTGTGTCTCTGTGTTGCCCTGCCAACCTGTTAAGGGTACAACCCACCTCTCGCCCATAGGGTGCCTGACGGATTACGAAGTTGAGAAAATGGGATGAATGAATCTATACATGTAAAACAAACATTCCTTGGATATGCTAAGGTCCTTTTACTTTCTCTCATTATTCTTTGAGGTGCACTCATGGCCTTTACCTATTTCAGACAAAATGTGCCTGAATGCATTCTTACCAATAATAGTGTTGGGCCCACTGGATTGTGTGCTGAGCTGTTTTAGGGTTTTTCTTACTTTTTCCTCCTCAGAGACTCCAGCCCAGACAAGCCTCCAGCTGGTTCCAATTGGACGCAATCAGGGAGCAGTATTTAGAGGAGTGGATTCCCTGGGATGGACACCAGTGGGTTAAAATTCCACATAGTGGTAACCTGCCTGCTAGCTCTCCTAAAGACTGAACCGATTGCTTAGACTCAAGCTTACCTCCTTGTCCTCCTTCTCTCTCCTAGAAGCCTTGCAGTCTCCAAGCCAGTTCTCCACTCAGTCCTCCTGAATCCATCCTCGATTGCTCACCTGCCTGTCCACCCTCTGGAGCTCTCAAGCCGAAGACCCCATCTCAGTCAAACTCAATCTCAGTGGGCTCATCCAACCTCCCCTCCAGCTGCTCCGCTCTCCAAAGAACTGTAAGGAATCAGCATCAACTCTTAATAACTCAGATCCTCCTGCCAGCGTCTAACTGATCTCTCTCCCCGTGCAGTTCCAGACTAGCTGCTGTTGCCCGAACCGCCACGCCGGGCCGAACTATTCTTTCTGTAAAACTTTTCAATAAACATTCTAAACAGCTTCCTGACTCGCGTTGTGTCTGCGCCAGAGTCCACTATTGAACCATGTCAAATAGTTCCTATTTAAATCTAAGATATCATTCTTACAGCCAAAGCTTTTTTCCTCTTTTTTTATATTTAAGCCTGACATAAAACGTTCCTAGAAAGTTAATATGTTTACGGGTTTTTTAACCCCTACTACTTGCTCTAAAAATATAGTCCCCTTTGCAAACCTGAAAGTCCATAAGTTTGACAGAATAAGAATAAAAACACACTGCCTTTATAAAGCATGTATTTAATTTTTTTTTTTTTCGATTTTTCAAATAGAAATATAAATAAAATATAAATAGAAGTATTATCTTTTTCTGTTCACTTGCTCTATATTCACAATAACTCCCCAAAAGTAGAACAGCAAACCTTTTTTTTTCATATTTTAACCATGTCTTTCTTATCGAGAACCTTGCCACTTATTTCATAGGACAAACTTTTGTTGAGCTTTTTTCTGTTTTCCAATATTAAATAACCCAAGTTCAATTAGTGTTAAAAAAAAAAATAAAATTTAATGAGCAATGATACACTCATCCATTTCCTCTCTTTACTTGCGAGAGAGGCGGGGTATACCCTGGACATGTCACCAGTCCATCGCAGGGCAACACAGAGATGCACAGTACAAACAACCATTCACGCACACACTCACACCTAAGGAGAATTTAGAGTAGCCAGTTAACCTAACAGTCATGTTTCTGGACTATGGGAGGAAGAGGAAGCATGCATGCTTAGGGAGAACATGCAAACTCCATGCAGAAAGACCCTGGGCCAGGATTCTTTTTTTTGTTGTTTTTTTTCTTTCTGTTTTTAATTAAACACAAAACAAACATTAGCTACATTCTTGGCTCAAGATAAGTTTTTTCTTTTTTTTTTTTAAACATTACAAATTACCCCCCACCCCTCAGAACTACTGTGTGTCTAAGATCAAAAAGTAATAACACATTAGTGAGTCATTAATATACACATATACATCTTCTGGGATGGGATTCTAACCCGGAACCTTCTTGCTGCTACCAACTACACCAACATTAATCTGTAAGACACACAATGTCAAGTCAATTAAATATAGTAAATGAAATAAATAAAAAATGCTTTTTTTGTAACCAGTAGATTTTACAAATGTTTCTTTTTTTTTTTTTTTTTTTTTTACCCAAATGATTAAAAAAATGCCTACAAACACAACCTAAGTAAACATGAATCCTTTTAGAGATAATACGAAAAGACATTCTGGTCATAAACAATTACGTTATGCTTTAATATGCTATATAGCCTTAAGTGAAACAGATGCAGTAATGTTACAGTCCAATACACATTCATGTCAATGCAAGCAATTACTGAGACAGGAAGTATAGCACAACCAAATTAGGATATATTCGCATGCATTAGCAGTTTTATTTTGTACCTACAGCACACCTAAAGCCATACCTTGTTTCATGCAGCATACTGTACATATATATCAGTTTAGACAAATACAAATGCTTTGTTCTGGAAGTTTTCGCTTCAGATTTTTCATCTTCTTACTTGTCAGGCATACATTTTTGCCATAAACTGATTGAAAGGATTATTTTCTTAAAGAGTAATTATTTTTTTAAAGGTTAATGTTTTATTTTATTTTTGGTATCTTCTGTGTACAATATTTAGGGAAAGGGTGAGAGAAATTATCCTAAACACTATACACATTGTATTCTGCTTTTATTGTTATTTTGTATTCAAATCCATCATAGATGCTGAAATGGAAAAAAAAAAAAAGATTCAGATTTGCATGACATATCTATGCTTACAGCTCGTGTTTCACTTAAAGGAGTGTGAATTTATTTCAGTTCTTTTTTTTAAGTGAAGGTAAAAATAGCCCACTTGAAAGTGATGGAGGAAATAACACTCCAAGCAGATGAGATGCTTAACTGGAAGAAGAATTTAGGCCTGATTGCATTCCAATCAGGTCAGTGAGTGGTGGTGTAAAATGCCAAGTCAGAGGAAGCTGATGACAGATTCCATACTCACCCTCTGCTTATGACCTGTTGTGTTGATTCATCTGAGACACGATGAAATGCCGCTTTTCAGCAAGAGTTAGACTATAGTTTCTCAGAACATATGACCAAATGTTATGATGAAGCTATGGTTTTAGATCCTTCCTTCCTTCCTTCCTTCCTTCCTTCCTTCCTTCCTTNTCCTTCCTTCCTTCCTTCCTTCCTTCCTTCCTTCCTTCCTTCCTTCCTTCCTTCCTTCCCTTCTTAAGTCCTTAGATCCTTGTGTCCTTCTTTCCGAAGCTATGGTCTTCCTTCCTTCCTTCCTTCCTTCCTTCCTTCCTTCCTTCCTTCCTTCCTTCCTTCACTTCTTACCGACGGTATTGTTTTTGAACTCTGGACCATCCTATCCAGCAGCATCATCCACACACAGCACCCCTCCGCGCTCTCACGCGCACCTGTGGGGAGAGGAAGAGCGCAGCCTGTTGCCACGTGCCGCGCATCGCGCGCTCAGTTATGCCTTGGACAGTAAAAAGGGAAGCAGAGCGCGAGCTTGCACAGCCGTTCTAAGCCGAGATAAAGCGGACCAGTCAACACAAAGAGAAGACGGAATATAGAAGAGGGGAAATTGTTTCTTTTCTCAACCAATTTGCTTTACGAAGGTAAATAATTTCACTTGAGTAAATGTAGTTTTTCCATTGTTTACAGTTTCGTCTCATTAGACCCAGACTGTGTTTCTTACGCTAAACAACAGAAAAGGATGTTCATGCTACTACTGTTAATCGACTTATAAATATTTCTGACTTCTGGAATAAACTCTGGCAAAGGAGATGTTTTGTAAAAGTCTATAATAGCACCGCATTTAACCTTAAACCAATCCGTCGTCACCTTTTTCATTAGGGGAATGTTAAGAGCATTAGATATAAAGAAAACTAAACACTCATTTCTAATAGTTAATAAAGATTTAAACTGTTTGGAGAACCAAACATTGTTCTAAAAGTGAGTTGAGAGAGAATTTAGGAAAAAGTAAATACTATAATCCACATTTACTCTGAAACAAAAATATTTTTCTTTAACACAAAGAACGTACAAGGAGATGAAAGGTGTTAAAATACGCTTATCTCCACCGTGTTGTTATGACTGGTTGATGACTTGTGAGGTGGATTCAGCACCATGGACAGCGATTACACTTTCAACAAATGAGCTAATTAAATGGAGTGATTCCTTTTATAAACTAATTAATATAGAATTACTGAAAAGTATATAAATTTGCATTTATGAGTTTCTGCACCTGTTCTGCTATAAAATATAATAGTCTTGTCAGATTTAAGAGAACGTTCTTTTGTTTGCAAAAAAAACAAAAACAAGCATTAATAACAAATAAAAACGCTTTTTTTCTTTTTTTTTTTTTTTTTTACCAGACTGACTTGGGTTAAACTATCACATTTTTTATATATAAAATTTTTTGGAAATGGCTGTTTGTACTTGCCAATTATTCCAAAGTCGTAGCATTACACTAATGGAAATTCCAACTGGTACTATTTTGAAAAATCAAAAATAAATCTTCTAGCATACAATATATTTCAGTGGAAGGGTTATTTAGTTCCTATTATTTTAGGCGTTGGAGCTGCCTAAATCACTGTAAACTTATTTTTATTTTTTTTTATTTTTTTTACTTTATCAAAATGCATCTTGGAGATCCTTCCTAGTTCCTAAGAGTTTATAGCATCAAATGCACACAGTGGTTATTCAGCACAAGTCCTACCTGCCTTGTTGTTTTAAACATATTTCTTGTCTACACCTCCTCCTCGCTTGTGTCTTTTTGATATCACACCAGCATTGTTCACAGGTGTCAGCACTGCTAACAGTTTAGGCAGCCCCAAGAAAATGTCGGAAAATACAAATACCATCGTTCTACAACAAATATAAGGCCCACATTTGAACATTGTCTAGTAAACCTACTTGGCTTAAGTAATAGCTTGTTTTATATCGTTATCCTCATTTATAAATGTAAAGTTTTTCTAAATAGTAATTGTCAGTAATACAGATATTCTGCAAAGTATCAATAGTCAAATGGTGTATATGGACAACAATACTAATTTGGTATGGTATCAATACTAAAGATGAATGTCGTTTGGATATTTTTGCTATTGTTAATTTTAGATTTATGAATTATTTACGCTTCAAAAGGATAGTCTTTCAGACAAACTTCAGATATTGTGAAATTGTGTTACATTTGATTCATTTATGTTGTATTTATTATCACACCTATTCAACTGGCTTCTGTGATTCTATAGAGAAAGCATTATCCATGTAGACGATTTCTTTTGATAATTGGTCATTTTTTTATCCTCATGGTATCAAAAAAGGATATAGTGTATGAAATATTTTCCTGGGTATCCAGATCCTTTTTTTTTTTATTTTAGTATGGTGACAGCACTGGAAATGAAGCACTAAGTCATCGCCCAAGGACTGCAAACAGGTCACTATCAGCTTGTTAAGCCCTGATCATTGGCTGCTCAATTAAGGTATTATACGTTTGTGCTTCTAGATCAGGCAGAACAGCAACATTTTTAATAAGGTGTTGGGACTTTCAGCATCAGGAAGATTGTATAGAACAGGTCAGAGGCTGTAGAGAGAATAAATAAAGAGATTTCCTATAGCAGGTCAAATATGTCCACATTTCATTCAGGCTACGGGGAAAGGGACAGAAGAAGATATGCTTTATGAAGTACAAGTTTTCTTGGCTTTACCCTTTTGTGTCTTTAAGCAGCTAAAATAGCTCCACTGTTTAGAGTAACATCAGTCTGTCACTTTTTTTTCCAGGAGTAAAAGACAACTGATGACCTAGCTTATTGTCTAATGCCAACAGCTGCAAAATTTTGTGTGTTATTGTATATAAAGATGGTGCATTAGCACAGCCTGCGTGCTTGTTTTCCAAGCAGGTTCCACAGCTTGTAGATATCACCCAGCCCTATAATAGAGTAAAAGAAAAGAGTTACCTTTAGAAGAATACTACTGTTCTTGCATTGCTAACTGAGCTAATAATTGTGTTTGCCAAAATGAGATGCATATAATAATCATGAGCTCCTCCAAATAGCTGAACTGATTTTTTTAAAGTACTGAAATCCTGTTTTAAAAGAAAGTCTCTTTCACACTAGATGTTATGTTATCTTACTCCTAACCAGGGTTTTTAGGACACTCATTTGCATCAAAATCAATAAACTGAATGTTTCCATCCTCCAAAGTGTGCAGCAGTGCTGAGGACACACAGGTACTCCCCCCTCCCATACCTAACAGCAGCCCACTGAAACAATGATGATTAAAAAGGATAACAGTGAACTGCAGCTGGACATTTAGAACTCCTGTGATATGGTAAGTACTTCAGGAGATATAAAGTAAAAATGATATTCCCAGGCTGTTTGGGATAGCTGACCAGTAAGTGATGATCCAAGCTTGGCCTTCTAGTATTGTCTACAAAGACAAGCCATGCTAAAAACTTTGTAGAGTAACTTAGGCAAAAATGTAGTTTATTAGGAATATCAAAGGTTCAGCGAGGCTATCCACAACAGAGGAGCAGTATTTTTTAGTTTGGGCACAGGATGCTCTGTAGCATCCTGAGGATGGAATGTTAAAAATAAATCTGATGTTTCTTTGTTTGAAACAAACATAATAGGACTGGGCGATGTGGCTTGAAAATTCAATCTCAAATGTTTTCCTTCCAAATCTTATTGATCAATTATTTCCCCCTTAAGTTTTATCATAAAAAATGACAAAAGACACACATTACTTTCAGAAATTCCTTTTTACTTCAATAATTTCCTCTGAGAGCTGACCTTAATTTAAAAGGCAATGAATGTGTAAACATGCTTGTAAAGCAATCATGTTTCACAGCAAACAATGGAAATAAAACACACTGTATGTTTGCAGCTAGTTGCACTGAACTAGTTTAGCATTTATGAGCAGACATCTGAAACAGAAAATGATGAACTGATGCCACTCTGCACTATGGAAGCCCTAGGAGTGCATTGGTGGGAAAAAAAAATCTGGATTTCTTTATTAAACAGAAAATTCGATTATTTGATTTTTTTTTTTCAATTAATCGCCCTGGCTATTAACAAAGTTATTTAACAGGTTCAGAATAGATACTTAAAACTGTTGGAATTAAAAACACAGCAGATGATAAATCTCAAATAGAAACTGGTCAAAGACCACTGTAAATTACTTGCAGTTTTTATAGAGACAATTTTAAGATACGAAGCAAAAAAAACCCAGGAGGTTAAAAAACTGATTTGAATCTTTAACATTTTCGAAAAATAAATCTGAATCCAAGTACACACACAAACATGGATAATAAATGCTTTACCAAAAACTATCCTGTCAATTGTTTACATTACACAGAAATTATGTAAAGAACGTATTAGGCTTGTACTTATTCGTTTGCTGATGATAAGGAAACCATTATATCCTGATTGGTTTGGGTTCAATTTTTACCAAAATAAGAAATATGCCTTTTCTCTCCAACAGCATAAATATACCCTTATTAAATCATTGATGTTTAACTCCTTACAGTAAAAAAAAAAAACAATCAGTTGAATCAGTTTTGAGTGCTCAAGCTTTACAAAAAAACTGGGATTTAGAAATGGGTTTAAGAGGTATGCTAGTATGCTGTTATGTTTTTCCATACTTCAGAATATTTTTGTAAAACCGTCATAATAAATGGGATCGGTTATATTGTGATTCAGCTTTGAAGTCCTATTGTCTGTTCATTTTCCCAAATGAATGTCTGGTTTCCACAGTGTTGTTTCTCCATGTTTCCATCTCAAAGTTAACAGTGTCCAGGATTTTTTCTTTTTATCATTTCCGATATTCATAATCCACACTTAGGGATTTCAGTTGGTTTTTTTAAAATCATTTAGAATAATACATGTTTATACATCTTGCTACTCTCAACACGAGTTGATACATACACAGAATCTAGGTCTATGAAATTCAATCTAACCAGAAGTTCTCTAACAATATTATCTTTTTCTTTGACTTGCACAGTTAGATACAATCAATTCTTCTTATGATTCCTGCATGAACTTGAGAGGAGCTATATTTATATAATTTTGTCTTTTTCCTGTATTGCACCATCCCATCTCCAGAATGTAAAATACACTGCCAAACCAAAAGCCTTGTTTTTTGGACTTGCTCATCAGTCCATTCATGCTTAACTAATTTGGAGGCTTCTCTGTACTGCGTTGCCTGGCGACAGGGACATGTCAAGCTCCTACAAACGACAGACTTGTTCTCACCACAAACACGGGGAAATGGAGGTTAGGACGATTGCTCTGGGTCATTGTTTTTATGCAACAGTCATTTAATATGTTCCCTTTTAAACATCACTTTAAAAGACTTGTCTGCAAGTGTTAGAGCGAACCTTTTCCCATTAAGTATAAACATATTTTTGCCAGTAAACAACATGTGACCACTGAAGGACTTTATATGTAGTAATTAAACAGGAATTGGGCTTAGAGACCGAGCAGGTTTTAAATAGCCTTTAGCCATACAGAGGCCATTTGAAACCTACTTTGATCATAACTAATTATCCAAATTATTTTTAGATTTTTTTGAGATAATGCATACAAATATCAATACTCCTTTGTACTAATTTTGGAGAGGATAACAAAACATAAAGCACTGAAGTTCAAATTGTTAATGAAGAGACACTTTCAGTGTCAAGAAGCGCCTCTGGAACTATTTCATGCTGTTAGCCATTTAGGCTTTAATATGCAAATATGAGACCCACTCAGAATCTTACACGAGTTATGCGATTTTTAATGTTAAGAAGATGTGAAAGTGTGACACATAACTTCCACTTCATTTGGTGCCTTGACAGCTTGAACTTGCGCCTCCGCCATCTCTCTCTCTCTCACTGTTCTTTACCAGATGAGATGTTGTAAGATGCTTTGCCTGCAGCAGAGATCTATCTTAAATTACAGCATGTACTCTCATATTCTGGGAAGGCATACCCTTGGGGGTTGGCTAAGGCATCTCCAAAATTAGTCCACTGAGAAATTATTGTAGCTTGTTAACTCTCTGATGGAAGAAAGCCATGCTGAAAGATAATGAGAAAATTGGAATCAGGTTCTTTATATACTAGAGGTGATTGGTTTCTGTTGGAACCATTCAGTGCACCAAATGTATAATTTGTTTTTCCATTCAGTTCTGTTTTTTCTTAGAACACATTCATTGGGATCAATTGAGAACAAAAAGCACCTGCTACAGTTAAAGAAGCACCACTAAAAGACAATCCTCTGTCCAAACATTTTCACATCATACCATCAAACTTTGAGATTTATGACGTGTATCACCACAAAGCTGCACATTGAAGTGAAAGGCAGAACTGAGGACTTTTTTTTTAACAACGATATGCTGCAACTAGACCTGCATGCCATTGAGATATGTCTGTACAAGTTTTACTGAACTTGAAATTGATATTTCTTTCATGCCTCTTTTCAAAATAAATGATGTTTAGATTGGATTAGTTTGGATGGAGAGGATGTCTGTGTTCACAAATTTCAAGCCTTGCAAAAAACTCTCCCTAAGGGCAAAAACAGTTAATCGGGAAAAAAATTCTAGTCACCTCATTATCTAGACAAGAAACAACTTATTTAGATACTGTATCGAATAATCAATAGCCGGACTATACAGACTCTAAAACTTGCCATTTGCTGATAGAACAATGCACTCAGAGCAGTCATTAAGGCTAAACTGTGCAAAAGAAGCCTTCTTTGTCATCTGAAAATTGGAAAATGTTGTACTTTTTGATGCTTTTAAATTCTAGAATGCAATATGCATGTGACACTTTGTAATTTGTGAACTTTTTATAATACAGTCAGCTGGTTCTGTATTGATCAGAAATAGCTAAGCTTTATTCATAAAATTAACAAAGCCATTTATCCTTAAACTTTTATGACATTAAATCTTAATAAAATAAATTCATGTTTACTGTTGACCAACTTTTGAAAAAACGTTGGTCCAGAATAAGTGCAAGTGAAATCGAATTGAGCAAGAATGTCCAATTCTGTAAAGAGATATATCAATGACTGACTGCAAGAAATACTGGAGGTTTGGATAGGTCCCTCAAAATGAAGTCAAATTAATGGATGTCTGAATAAAATAATGCTATTGTTTTTGGCATTTACTTAATCATATTTAGTTACTTTAACACTATTATTAATGTTAGCAGGGTAGGACATAAAACAATTGTGTTAAAGAAACTTAACATGATTAAGTAAATGCCAAAAGTAGTTAAAAAATTTTTCAGTGATTGTATATTAACTCAAGCAAGAATTTTGTCGTGGGGATACATTGAATAATTTAATATGTAATCCTTGTTCATATTTTTTATAGAAGTCTAAGTGATAAACTATGAAAAGGTGAAAATCATTTAGAATCGCTTTTGACCATATTCTCATTTTCTAAGGTAAATCCTGAGGCAACATCAAGGAAAATACTTTTGTGGGACTGAAAAAACAAACTG